TTTTTGGCGGAAAATGAAAAATAAGAAAATATAAACTATTTATTGAAGTATCAATTATAAACAGTAAGGCTATTGCTTTGCAAAATACAATAAATCCCCAATATAAATAAATTATAATAATAATAATAATAAATGGAAGGAAGTATATAAAGCATAAATTAATAATATTAAAATTTATAATTACACGACTTTTAAACTAATCAGAGAATCAGATTCACCACACGAATCAACATTTTCCAAAACATTAGCGGCTGTGCCATACAGGTGCAGGAACCGATACAGCAAATATTTTTTTTCTGCATTTGCAAATTTACATCTTAAACAATGTAGTCTTAGGGCATCTTCAGTCGGTGGCAATTTAGCGATGGTTTTTGAAGAGGCCAATAATCCCCTCAAAATGTTAATGGAAGTAACATTGGCAGTTTTGAATAAATTTTTATGAAAATTCTTTCAAGATTAGAGAATATGTTTTCAGAGTACTGATCAATGCCAAATCCATCCAAAAAGTAATGGTGTTCAAGATAGGTTTTCCAACAGGTTCTTTTCCCAATGCCGGACAATTAGCTGGTTGTATTACAACCGGTCAGAGAATGAAAAGCAGGCACATTTTTTTGAAGGTTTTCATCCAAATTTAAATAATGTACTGCTAGAAATCGTCTTGAGTCTCCTCGCCCTGTTCTGAACCATAAATCTTTAGTCAAAAACTTCTTAAAATAAATTAATAAGACATCTGTATCGTTACAATAAATAATGCAGCGTGAATGCCCCGAATTTTTGGATGTGCAATAAGATACGATTATTAGTGTCTTCGTGATTTCAATTTAAAAAATCGTCTTTTGATGGTTCAAAATTCTTTCCATATTTATTGATTTTCGCGAGTTTTGAAGAAGTTGCTCTAGCAAAAAATGTGTTAAACGTCTTTTGTTAAATATCGAATGAATAAACAAGTTCTATTATTGCGGAAGTGAAATATTGGGTCGGTCAATTTCTATATCAATTGATTTCTGAAATCCTCTCTTTTGACGTGTTGTATTTTTGATAGAATGTCCTTTATAATGATCAAATACCACATCTATCATTTGAACATTAAATTTATTTCTAAAAATAATGTTTACAAATATATGTTTAAATGATATGCAACTTTTGGGCTTTCCTATTTTGATATCATTTTTGTCTTTGCTACTTGCAGCAACAAATCCGTAATTAAAATTTTAAACGAAAACTTATAACTTACCCAAATATATTCAGCTGCAACAGGATGAATGTAGATATAATAAAGATGCAAAAATGTCTATATGTTTCCCAATTTATTAGGTAATTTAATATATAACACATACACTTATTAATTCTTTAGTAAAAATAGATAACAATATGACACATTGCCCAATGGAACATAACGAGAAGTTTTATAATAAAAAAAAATGAAAAATCCTACCATATCAATAATGTGATACATCAGCCGGCACGTAGAGAGAAACAGAGCTATGCTACGTTTGAAGGTGAAGAGAAAGATACACTGAGAGTCGATAAATTTGGCGGTGAGAATTAATAACAGCATAAACCTATGACATCTCTCATCGTTTATTGTTATATCTTTGTTAATTCAAAAGCAAAAAATATGGTGTTTACTCTGTTACATTGTCAACACATAAGCAAAAATTTTATAAGGAATGTTTTTTTGTTCATTTAGGCCTTCGTTTTTTGTTAAATGAGTGGTATATTTAAAAAAGACGACTTTTTAACTAAATTTTTGAAGGGCTAAAACCAAGATATTTACGTTTATATTTTTTTTCGGCCGTAAGTGCTAATGTAAATGATTTTTTTTAAATAAGTATGAACAATTACTCCCTACAAAGATTTTATTGTGCATTTGATCAAAAAATGAGTATTTTTTTTCTCTATTCGGTGGTATCAATATCTGGATTTTTGATGATAATGCCCTTCTGCAAACTCTAATTTTGTATTAACTCCGGAATAAGGGTTACCTTATCATGACCTTTCATCTGTGAAAAATTCAGCCTTGTGACAAAAGAGTGGGAAGTGAATCGTTTTCTTGAGCGAATATTTTAATACATACACTTTACTAACAATGACAACAGCGGATATTATGTCCTACTGTGTCCCTTAGAATATGTCTTATTCACGGCCGCACGATATTTGTTAGTAGTTACATCTCCTGGTTATCTCTGTTCTAGAGGTATACCTACTGAAGTTAAGTAAAAAAATTCTGGCGAATCTATGAAAATGGATAAAATATCATATATCGATTCTAAACAAAGTTTTGCAAAATTTCAATATTGTGAATTTGTAGATATCCATTTATGGTAAAAAAACTAAATTTTACGACTTGCACTTGGAAAATAATGAATACTTCAGTTTTGATTTTGACATTAACACCATATAGATTGCAATTTGCTGGGGACTTTTTCGCAGATTTCATTTTTAACATAAACACTATCACATACTATAAGAAATAAACAAATTTAAAGCTAAAAAGTAAGAAAAACTCGAATTGTAATTGATACAAATTAAAATGTAAACAATGAACTCGTTGCCAAATGATGAACTGATTTTAAAACAAAATTAATAAATGAACTGAAATTAAAAAAAAAAATTAATATAATAAATCGGTTTTATAAAAAAGTCCTTAAATAAATATAGAGTATGATTACATATTACTATACACAAATTTTGATTCTTAAATAAAAGGTCTTATCCACTTCTTCAAGAGCTAAAATCCGACGACGTAGAGAAATTTTGCTACTATTGGCAACACTGAACGATATCCTACTTATAGGGACCTTCTACAAATTTCCTCCAGAGGGCGTATCACTTAGCTTGAATCGCGAATAAAGATCCTTCCAATTATACCTTCTCAAGGAAGTGTAGGATTTGGAGTGGTTTCAAGTTAGGTAAATCTCCCTCTTCTATTTGATATGCTCCTAGGTATAGTGCCCTTGGATTCTCAAGTGCTACACATTTAGTTAGAATGTGAATGAAGATTTTTTCCTCCTCCTCACAAAATCTGCACTATCTTCTACTACTCTCAGTTTACTAAGGTGTAATTTTAGTTGGCAATGTCCAGTAAGGATCCCTGTTACAAGTGTTCTCACTACTAGAAAAATGTATATTATAACAGCTTAAAATACAATCTGGCTAATGTGGAACACCCCGAAAGCCTTGCCAGACTCGTCTAATGACCGTCAGGTCCGACCGAAATACGGTTTTATAACCGAAACAGAAACCAAATTTCGGCTCCTTTTTTAGTTTCGGCCCAAACAGAAACAAGAACTTTCTTTTAAGGCAATCTCTTATTGAAATTTGCAATATCTCATTGTAATCCTTGTTTTAGACTAATTAACTCGTATTATAAATTTTAGCTACATTTACTTATTACCTGTTTATTTATGTGATCAAAAGAAGCCATTAATAAATTTATTGACATGTTCACTTGAAACAAAGCAGAGAAGTTTGTGTGTACGTGGTCGTGCACTGTGTAGGAATGGCACCCGGCACAGTCGCCATTGCGCCGGACACAACCAATTGTGATACGAAAACTTTTAAAAGTAGTTTCGCTGTCGGCTGCAGTTTCGGCCAGTTTTCCGCCGAAACCGAAACTGTAGTCGAAACTATTATTTAAAGCCAAAGTTGGCCGAAACTGTAACCGAACCTTCGGTCGGACACTACTTGTGAGTCTGGCAGGCCTCTGTAATTGTAATTGTCAGCCAGACGTGTATTTTCACTTACGAATATTTTGAAATTTATCCTAAGTAGATGGATAATGTTCTTAAAATATGCGCGAGTGTGCAAAAATTTACTGACAATAATTTAGGCACGTTTGGTATTGGGTAAGAAAGTTTTACACCAAAATATCCAAATTTTAAAACTTGACAGACATGCATTAAAACGACTAAAATCAAATTTTTAAAGGTAGCCATACCACAGAATATGCTGTGACCATACCATGACCATTTGTCATATTTGAAGTCGTTTAGTTGACGCGAAAAACCTAATTATTATTTTACATAAAATAAATGTAGTGTATTTCTACCTAGTTATAATTGGTATTAAATAAAATATTAACCACTGAAAAGGCAAATTTTTTATATGCATGAAAGAGCTGCTCAACTGTCAAAAAAAATTTCAGTATAATTTCGTTCAGGGTACCCACCAAAAGAAAAATTTCCGGAAACTTTTCTGGTTGTCATGAAAGTGTTTTAAAATAACAGCAGTTGATTGGCTATAAAATGGAGGTGTAAAATTATAATTTAATCTATCACGTGACAAATTTTCAAACCCGGGAAAATAAAAGCAAAAATATTATATTTTTTCCATTTAGAAGATATTACCAGACTCATTAGCCAATTTCGTAAATCAGCCAGACTTATTATTATAAACAGTTCATGATTGTATCAATTTATATGCTCAATTTTCTGCCACACTCACTTTCCACTATCTGAGATAATCCAAACTGCTATTTTTATAAGCTTTATGTTCTAGTTTAGTAAATGTAAAATAGTTATGACTGGGAAAATAAGTGTCAGAATCAAAAATTTTGTTTTTTGTCACTAAGAGAACAGTTTATTTTTCATATACACCGACTGGAAAAATTAATACGAAAAAAATTCACTGCCTCCTGAACTAAATGTAAAATTGCAGAATCAATCAAATGGCACGATTCTTTTTATTTTTGAAATGAAATGTTTGGGTGGATGTGCGATAAATGTTCTAATTATTTTTGGGGGGGCTAATTTGGTTTTTGGGGGGGCTTAGCCCCCCAAGCCCCCCCTTAACTTCGCCCATGCTGCAACTACAGAAAAGTGGGGTGGTATCAGTGATATGAACTTGGAAATTTGTGAAGAATAAGTTTTATTTGGGCGTGTTTTACCCCACCACACGCCCGTCGTCGCATTAAGTATGCTGGGTAATATATTACACAACAACGACGTCATCTTTTTTACAAATTATAACTTGTACAAACAATAAACAAAATATGTATTTTATAAAATAATATTTTAATATCAATAGATATAATAAACATATAAAAGGCACTTACAGAAAATATCTTACAACTATCTCAAGGTTTGTTGGCGTCATTATTCCCTCGTCGTTTAAAGTTCCTTCCATGTCTGTAAAAATTCATGGCGAACGCTGAGCAAGCCAATATCAGTAGCGCGACGTAAAAAACGGTCATCGCCAGGGCAGGGTCGCCGTAATCGAAAGTCAAATGGTCGTTTTTCAGGTATCCAAAACTGTTTAGATTGTTCGTTCCATTGGGGGGCGGACAGGGTAACTGCACGATGATGTCTTGATGCTGGATCTGTAAAAAAGTTAGTGTTATGTTCGTCTAGGCGATAAATATACAGTTTGTCTCAAAAAGTTTTTTTTAATATCTCAATAAAAATTGGTGCATCATCTTAAACCAAATATTTCTTTCTTACTGGGCCATTTTCCAAATTTGTCAAGATTTGAAAAAAAGACAAGCGATCGAACATACTTTTTTGACTACAATAATTATTTTGTTTTGCTCTCACCTGCTTGTTTCTGCACAAAGTAGACATCGTACTCTGCAAACTTTGGATCGCTTCCGGGGATAGTTCTCTATTTAAAAGATACGGAATCAACCAAGCGGTTGGACTGATCTTCTGCATCCATTGAAGATAACCTGGTATATCTTTAAGATGTAGCACGTAGCCTGATACAACGAAAAACAATGACAGTATCATCGACGAAAACACTGTTATACTATTTGGTAATGGTACTAAGTAGATGAAGGCTATTAGGAATATTTGAAGGCAGCTTAGGTAGAGTAGCATGACACCTAAAAAAAAAAGAAAAATAAAAACTGATGATAGCTATGGTGTTATAACCTCCGAGCAATTACTAATAGAGGGAGCGTGGAAACGAGTTTGTAGGCGAATGTTGTGTTAGCAACATCTGTAGAGGAAGTGAGGAAGCGGGCATAAGGGGGAAGGTAAACATCCTTCTTGTTCAGTGGCGTATCATTTATCTATAAAAACACACATTGTCCAAACGTTTTATTTGTAAAAAAAACTAAAAATTTTTAAAATGAATACCGTCTTATGTGTGTCTAATGCAGGAAAAGAAACAAAATCACTGTAAAGGTCTAATTTTTTCAATTGAAGAATAAAACCTTAAAATCAATTTTATTATAAATACAGGAGCGACTAGTTTCGGCCTTACAGGAACATCTTCAGGCCTGTAATACAATAATCTTTAATTATTATAATAGGTTGGTCACTTACGAATAACATTAAATAGTATAAACCACATAAATGGATCCATATTGTAGCGTTACAGCATTATAGAATTAAAGCATTGAAAATAAAAGAGCAGTGCAAACGTAACTAAAAATAAGAAAACTGAGTACGGAATCTACAAGAGAAGAGATGAGAATGAGCAATTACGAATGCATTTAAATTGCTCGGGATAACAAATAAAGCTGATAATGTAGTGGTATAGTCCCCGTCAAAGAAGGTCTGGATATGTTAAAGAGGACGGCGTTTTCTCTGTAAATCTGGAGAATGTAAGGATGGAGGGAAGACGAATCTTGCTGGCTCAGGTGTAGATGGCTAGAAAAAGGAGAGTGTAGATGAAAGCTCCAGTAAATATCGTCACTTTCGTCTAATTTTTATTTTCACTCACCGTTTCGGCTTTATCTTCGAAATTCATTTTTAAAAGGAAATAAAAGTAATCATTCATACAAGTATATAATAAAACAACATGAATTCATTATATTTAATAAGCTAATAAACGTTTGTTTCAATGAAAAAAACATATATGTGAGTATAAAAAATATATAAATAGATAAGATTAATATCAAAATCAATTTGAAAATACAACAGATAATAAAATGAAATGAATTAATACAAGTACAAATAGAAAGTTAATAACATACCTTCTAAAAGTAACACATTTTAGGTAGATAAATGTTTAAAGAGTTTATTCCTGAACATAACTAATCTAACGTTTTTCCCCTTTTTAATATTATGAGCGTTTTTGTAGTTGAAATGAAAATTATAATTTATTTTGGTCCTAATAAAAATTTAAACATAGGTTATCAAAGAGTAAAATTCATAATAGAACTTCATAATCTTAAATCGTTATCAAAAATTATCATTGGTAAAACTTCAAACAATAATTAGATTCTTAAACAAATTTCTAGTTTTTATTTTGCAAAAGACTTTTTTGCCTTCTTCGGTTGCCTCTGCCACTTTTCTTTTAGTAGTTTCGAGGAGAATTTTGATATTTTGAGTCTGGTAAGTCTTGTTAAACTTTCTTCTTAGGAAGCTATAACCTTATGGAGAATAAAAATTTAATGTTAGATCAAAAGCTCTTAATTGAGAATTATATTTGCAAATGCCGTTTTAATAATATTTTCAAAAGTTCTTGGAATCGTTGTTAACAGAAACCTGCAAAAAATATATAATTTTATTCCTAAAATATAAGATATCACACAATGCACATTCGTATAATATCATTGTGCTAGAAAAGTACTAGGTAGTTACTGAGACAATTTAAAAAAAGTATTTCGAGAAACTCAACTTTTAATGTCATCATTGTACTTAACTTTTTTATTGCTAAATTATTAATAATGTCATTTTGTGTAGTTCGTTGTGATTTTTATAATATATATTATAAAAACCTACTGTCAATGTTAATGTGCCAAGTTTTTTTTAATAATTATGTCCTTGTTATAGTAAAAACACATTTAAACACATTTTTAAAGTTTTCTGGATTTCTGCTTTAAATTATCGTACAATTGAACTGACTAATTGTGTGTTTAAGTAAAGGTATATCTCTTTTTTGTTATAACAGTCTTTGTATATTGTTCTAACTTTTTAGATAATCAGAGAAAACAGTAAGACATCTTAATATATCCTATTTCACCAACAAAAATGTAGAATAATTAATCTCACATCAAACGAAAAAAGTAATTTTAGGATGTCCTAATAGGTTTTAACTTAAAAACTAAAAATGTATATTGCAACTGTGTTTAAATAAATGAATGTTTTATACCTGACTATAGCACCAGACAAACATTTTTTTAGATCATAATGATCTGTATAACTCAAAATAGTCAAAAGCCACATTATTTAAGTTGTTCTAGTATTGTTTTAGCATAACGATGTTAACTCCAATAATAAATATTCACATTTTTTTGGGACGTTTTTTAAGGAAATTAAAAAAAAACATGAATAATGTGATATTCTTGTTTAGTTTTGTACTATATAATATAGTTCATTAGGTAGTGATTTAGAAGCAAATTATGTTCTATTTATAGAATAAAAAATCACTCATAATATCTAAATATTTATACCTATTTATATTTTGGACAGGAAGACTATTTTATGTTTTTGGCTCTGAATACTTTTCTTAAGAATTTTAAAACCTTCCTTAGCTCTTTTGGGATATTCCATGCATATCTTAGAAGTTCATTTTGTTTAAACCTAAAACAAATTAAGTACAAAAAATGAACATTTAAGCAATACACAAAATTAGTCTTTTAGATTAGTAAAAAAAAATGTCAACAGAAAAATAGCTATGCCTTTTTCCTTAAACATTCTTTTTGAAAGAAACTTAAGTTTCTCTACTTACTTACTGTTTTAGTATTTTAGTAGCAGATGAATATAGTGTAGAAGTAGTGACAGGATTGATTATTATACTTCTTTCGTCGAAATTGCATTTTTCTTTAATATTTTCCTTCCCTGAGGTCTGTAATAAAAATGTTCATTAGCATAAAAAGTTATTCAGGTGGTCACTTGTTGAATTCCTATCTTTTGGAACCATGTATTTCTTTCTCATATCAAGAAAAGGAAACCTAAAAAAAATAACAATAAACTTTACAAAGCTGTGATATTAAAATAATAATAAGTAATTAACCTTTACTATAATCATTATGAGACGGATGAAGACGAACTTAGCTGGAGTGTTACTTGCTCTTAATTTTAATTTTTCGATAAGAAAATAAGAAAGTTTAATTGCAAATTAAAGGTGATTGCCTAATGCACCGCCTCTGATAATTAGGTTGTGTCTGTACTTACTTATGATATTATCTTGAAGAAGCATTTTCAACAGGCCTTTTACACATAAAGCATGTTTTCACCATATTATTAGAGATAATAAATCTTAAATATACATTTACAACCCTTACAACGTTATAAATAATAATGTTTTTCGTAAAATACAAATAATAAATTGACATGTGTCAGAAAGTGTCAGAACTGGCGCTCACAGAACACTTCTGGCGCTGTCAAACTTGGCAACGCTGATTAAATAAGCCAATTAGAGAAGAGGTATTTTCCCCCTCGGGGGGAGTAGATGTTGCTAACAAAATTTAGCGCGGGGAAGGGGGGAAGACTCCCTCTAGTAGTAATTGCTCGGAGGTTATAACATTCTAAATTGGCAATAATGTCTTCTAAAATTCAAATTATATATCAGTTATAAATGTAGTTTTGTTAAAATTGAAAAGTCAGTAGAATGTATGTTGCTGCTGTTTCTCTTTCGATATAATTCAATGCTTGTTGTGGTATTAACCGAAAAAGAAATTGTTGTCAGAAAGGAAACGACCGCTTAACGTTTTTGTGACACACTCTTTACGTTTTTATCATTTTTCTTTAAAACATTTTTGTTGCTACTTTAAGATGATAATGTAATCTGTAATCGCCACTATCGGCTGTCGATTTAAGGGTACTATACGCTTTTTTTGATAAGAAACTTAAAGAATCCTGGCATTTTATTTTTAGTCGTAAGCCTGTTGTATTTGCTTCATTATAATTTTTCTTCTCCAACAGAATTCCAGTTAAGAAAATACAGATAGTATTGGAATAACGTTAGAATATTTTAAATAAAAAAAAATGTTTTACTTACCTATATAAACATAGAATCCTTCATAATTAATTAGACTTTGCATATAAAGTCCACTCATTGAATAACTTGGCACAACGTAGACTAGCCAAACAAATAAGGATGGAAACAGATTGATTATTGACTAAAAATAATAATAACAAATTTAATTTCATTCACATAAATAGTTATTTATTTAACCAGAATAAATGCTTTAAAAAGCACTATCTTACTATTATTTACCTTGGTAATTATATAAGTCAGTCTTCCATACAACCCATCCTTGATATCTCTCTCCACACTTTTTCTGTTTCTTCTAATTTCCATAATGGTCAGATTCAGGAGTAATGGCCAATGTACCACGCACATTACGCTATAGTGGTAACCCTGTCTGTCGTTCAGGATCAACTGGGAATCCGTGGTTGGAATGTCCCAGAATATTGCACCGAGGATCAGCGATAGACTGGCAGAGAGTATAATTACCATCAACCAATTTAGAAACGTGACTGATTGAGTGTAGATAATAGACTTACTAAAATGAAACAAACATGAGTGCACAAAACGGGTGCAAGAGTAATTAATTAAATAATATATAAGAAGAGTTTTTAGCTAAATATTTTCTTTGTAAACATTTGACTCTAGCCGCGTCATATTAAGTCATTTGAAGCAGAAATACATGTTTTACATTCAAAACTAAATGTCATATCTAAAAACTAGGTTATATTTTTAAACAGTTATGAAATTATTTTTGCTAAGTACTTTTGGTTTTAAAAATCCATCTAAATAAGCTTCCTTAACTGAAAAGGATTTGTAGATAGTCATCAGAAACGCGTCTTGGTAGTAGACACATGACAGATTAAGAAATTGACAAGTGACACTCAAGACAAAATGACAGGAACCATCATCAATGGCCCAGGAGTCAACCGGAATGAACTTATCAAAAATAAATCATCTAAATGAGATTGAAGGGCTATGTTTGGCCTCCAGAGCTGTGGTACTTTCTTAATAACAAAGAAACATAGTTGGTTTATGGTTGAGTAAGAAGAGCGAAGGGTTCTGACTCTAGAATTACATTCGGATAGAGGATTTAAGGGTGAATGACATGACTAGACCATGACCTAGCCAAAAAGGAAGGAGACATTGAGAACGAAAGGAAAGAGTAAAGTAAAAAGGTACAGTAAAGACAAATTACTATATAGATCCATATAAGGCAGCTATAAAGTTAAGAAACGATGGGTATATTTACATTTTACGAAACATCTGTTTACTGTGCAACCTGTATTCCAAAGTGAATAAACATTGTCAATCAAATGATATCTGACACTTACGTAAATAAAACAAAGGCGGCTACAAAACAATTTGCGTTCCGCACTGTCATTGGTAGAGATGAAGGTGGTCCGGGATCACTTAAAGGTTCCTGTTTCTGCCTAAATATCTCCGCTAATTGTTCTATTCGTTGTGATGACTCCAGCATGGCCTCAGCTGAAAGGTCGTCCAATGTGACGAGATCAACTAAAAAAATAAGAAATCGTGATTGAAGATGTTAGACGTTTGTATCCAAAACGTTGTAGACTCACGGTAATAATCTGAAGGATTTTTAAATGACGGACAAGGATATTCAACTAAAGCAAAATATGGCAACATATCCCTCCTTCTCCCACTGAACATGGTCCTTCCCGCTGACACCAACAGTATCCTGGACAACATCGTAAATATTTCATAAGTCGGTGGGTGCATGGTGATAATAACGATTCTTCCTAAAGTACTGCCAGCGCCACCATTGGCCCATTGTTTTAAATATTCTACGAGAAAGAAGGTGTCGAAGATATCCATACCTCTTGTGGGCTGATCTAACACTACGATGTCTGTGTCTAGGATGAGGTGACAAGCTACATTCAGTCTTCTTCTCTCTGATACCGTCATCGATGATACTTTGGTGTCCCTTACCTGTTCCAAACCGAGGTCTTCTATGAGGACGTTTATCTGAAAATACATTTATATATTCTATTATTTTCAAAATAATGGAGTAACTTACTCGATCCATAGCTTCAATTTTCAAATACCCTAACTTATCGGTAGGCTTCTTGAGATCGTAATGGAACCTTAAAGTCTGTACCACCGTTAAGTCTTTACACAAATTCAAATCACTTTGCACATAAGCCACTCTAGATTTCAAGCCATGCGCCCTAACTGTTTGTCCGTTTAAGACGATGCTGCCTAGTATTGGGGACTTCAGACCGGCCAGCACGTCTAGCAGAGCCGTGCCCTCTTCCTCCGACGTCGTCATGACAGCCATTATCTCGCCGCCTCTGATCTCGAAGGATATTTCGTTGAGCAAGAGGTGTTTACGAGAGTTGCAGGCTGTGTTGGAGTTGGGGAAGACGCCTATACCACACACCTATAAATTACGAAAATATAATATGTTTTATGTGAATTTAAAATTTATCTTTTTTTATACCTGCAAATGAGGATACATAAAAGCTGTACCAGATTCTTCGTCATGGTTCAAATAGTCCGTTCTTAAAACTGATGGTGGTCCTCTTCGTGAAGGTGGTATAGAAAAATGACTTTCAGTCTTCGACATTGGCCTAGTCATGTGACCCATCATGCTAGAAGAATAAATAGATTTTAAAAACCTGAAAACATTCTATTAATGTAGCTAGAAATTTGTACTACAGATTTACAAGACATAAACCTATATATTTTTTTTTACTTTTATGACATTTTTTTACAATTTAAATAAAACAAAACTTACGCATGGTCCACTACATCCTGATGATGTACAAAATCAGCAACGCTGTTCCTTCTTGGATCCCTCATGTGATGCTGATCGATTGTGTGATAAGATCTACTATATTCTGTATTTAACAAATTCGCTTCTGAGATGCTCTTATTTCTGCCTGTCCACTGGTTGCCAGAATGTCTTATACCCCCTTGGTGCATAGCTGCAATTGGTAGACCTGGGCTTTCCTAAAAAAAATATTTTAAGGTTATGTTACGACATTATTTGTGGAGGTATGTGGAAGGAAGCGGTCGTGCATGATTTTGAGTTATTCTTCATTAAAACAAACTTATAGTAAAGGAGAAATAAAGGTTTTTTTGTAGGAATGGGAATAGTGTAGTGACTTTGGCAGCTGAGACATGCCATTAGAAGTGACATTTGGAAAAAGGTAGAGACGATAGGTTAAAAGAAATTGAAAATACATCAAAATACTTGATGATGGAACTAGAGAGGACCAAAGAATGTAGAAAAATCTACTAGCACGTCGTTAACAAGAAGTGTGAGATAAATAAATTGAATTAAACAACAAAAAAACGGAGAGAGTCTTAAAAATTGTTTACTTTATCCGCTACTTTAGATTTATAAGGTATAATTTTCTGAATAACTAAATGATAGCGCATCTGGGTATTTTAAAAATCAATCAATACCTGCTATTTTTGAGGAAAGTTCAGAAAAGCAAATCTTCCGTACCAATTTATTATAAAACAAAATCCAAATTACCTAGATCACTTTTTAGTCAATTCTGATATCACAACAGCTATGCCATTACTTTTTAAACTCACCTCGTATTCTAGGACAACGAAATTTCCTCTAATATGAAGGGACATTATTGAAATTGTAATTTTTCCATTATGCAATATTCGTGCTCTTGTTAGATACTAACAAACGATTTATATCATTACTTAATTCCAAAAACGTGACAAAAACCGAAAGGAAGTTAGGCAACAAACTTTTACTTTTCGTGTATTAACGAATTCTCGGCTCTTTGACGACAGAATGGCATAGCTGCAGGAGATAAAGGAAATATTTTAGATATTAAACTGGATAGGAAATTTGGTTAGATATACTTTAGACGAACCGTTTACTGAAAGGAAATCCTACACCTACGTTAAATATTGAAAATGGTACGTTGCAGAAAAATAATAATAATTTATTGAATGCTTTTAATAATTTCCTGATTTAGCTGAGTTTTTATAAGGGGCAATCGGATCAAATTAAAAAAGCTATAGAGGCAAACTATTTTTTATTCTTTTATTAAACCCACTCTGTTACTCCCTTCTACAATTTCATAATAAGGTGTGTTCTATAGGTTATTGGATCAACCTATGGTTGTCCAAAAAGTGCGACCCAATGTTTCTCAGTTATACGGTATGTTTTTAGTTATTTCGACACAATAAGTCCCAATTATATACATCTATTTGAACAGGTGTCCTTTTACTGGGGCATGTCCAGTCATGAGTTAGCTGAATATTTTCTCCTCGCTCGTGAATGTCATTTAGTAGATTTGTTGGTACCAATTTTTAGTCATTTCCTTTCTGTCTATATTGTTACTATGGTTAGAGCCTCTTCCATACAATCTTTAACTGTAATGCTGAATTTACCTTGTGCCATGATCACTAGATCATCGGCGCATTCCAGAGTTATATATCCTAAGCACGAGATTGTTTGAGTCAAGAAATTGTATGTATAAACATTTAAAAAAGTGTTAATAGTTTAATATCAAGCAAAAGGCTGACCTTAGTTAGGATAATATTCATTTGGCCATGGTAATATTGGTTTAAAATTATTTTACTTCCTTTTTTTCTGTGTAGATTTATTGAGTAAATTTAATTTTCATTTCAGACTGAAAAAAAAATGTTGGCGTCATTCCTGCTCTTTACAACACCATAATTCTATGAACCTTGAAGTTAAATGAAGCATATAAATTAAACCATTAACTGACCCATCGAGACAATCAAATCCAAACAATAAAAAGAAAAAAAGACGTAAAAGTTTCGTCAATAGCGGCCCTACCCCTTGGTACATATTCTGCATTCGAAAATCAGGATCAGAACGGTATTTCCTGTTGTGCTTGTAGTTATTGGTGGTTTCATTATCCGAACTGTCATATCCGGAGCTGCCATCTCTTGGGCCGCGGCTTCCTGGTTTTAAACTCCTGAAAACAATAAAGGAACCATTATATGCGGTGATTATTTTAATCATACAGGGTGCAGTTGAGTAATTATCACATCAATAGAAATTGAAAATTCACATATGAATCTTTGTAACGTAAATATTTATAACTTTAATAACTTCGTACGGTCAAAAATTTTAGCCAACTTCAGCGTTGCCAGCAGCGTCTGATTTTTCGTACTAAATTCTGTGGAATTTTCGTAACAGATTAGGATTTTTCGTAATAGACTATTTTTTGTGGAGTTTTCTGAGAAATTATTATTTAAATGAACAAGGTGCATCAGCTGTTGCTTTTTTTTAGTAGAGGAGTCTAATAAATACAACTAATGGAATTATATAAATATTATAAATTATATTTATTATTACTTGTCACTCTTGTCATAAAATAATGAAACGTAGAGGATTACGATCATGGTTGTTACGTAAAATTGATATAGATGTCGTTACTGGCCAAGTTTACAGTCGAAGTTTTTTCAAATAAACATAAATTTGCAGAAGAAATAAAACTCAGAAGATCTGCTCCTGCTTACATTTTATTTCAAAAAAAAATAAGAACAAATATTCTTGAAAAAGAAACAAACAAAAAAACAAATACAAAACAACAAAAAAAAACATTATTTTAAAGAGAAAAACTGCCTCATTACAACATTACGAAATATAATAAAGATTTTGTGTAACATATACTTAACTAGAATTACTAGAAACTAGAACTAGAACCAGAAGTAACAGGTAACTAAAAGAAATAGAAACTACAAAGTCATCACATGAAAAAACTTGCACAAAAATAATAAATAGCTTCAAGTAATGTTGAGATATAATAAGTTTACTTACTTGCTCAACATAATTTTTGTATTCTTGAAAAATAAATGCACCATAAAACAAGAAATTTAGATCAATGAAGATAGAAGATAAACGGCAGAACACAAATCATAATCAATGAAGTGGAGAGGGGTAGAATGATAACTGTCAATGAAAAAGTCTGGACACTATGCACAATTTCGTTTTGCACATTTTGTAAACAAAATTCAGGGACGGTTTAACAACATTTTGTGCAACAATTATAAAATAGTGCATCGAAAAATAATTAACAAGTATAATTTAATACTAAATCGGAATAAAAGCATAAAAAATCATAAATATAAGCAAGATAACAAAGAATTGACGCCAAAAAAGCTTACAACAGCCAAAACACAAATAAAAAACAGAGCTGAACATGAACATAATCGCTGAATAAAGTCGATCCTGGAATTTGTTTACAGTGCTTTAGGGCAACCTCTCCTTGTCATTTACGTGTGTAAGAGTGGAAGGCTGAATCACTCATAATTTCTACACTCGTGATGGATGCGCAGACGGTACCTTATCGTTCTACCCTCTCTACTTCTTTGATCATAATACACATTACACATCAAATAAACAAATACAAAAACGTCAAATTTTTAAAAGTGAGGTTAGGATCAATGGTGTGGTAGTGGCTCCAGTTTTTAAAAACGACGGCGTAATTAGAGTTATGGTGCAAGCTGCAAAACCAGTATAGCACGTACAGGGGTACAAATTTTTGCTTCTTTGGTTAATTTGAATCCATTTTTTGAGATTTTTTTAATTAGAGGCATATAGCAAAAACGTAATAGATTGCTGAGCGGCGTAATAGCGTAATAAATAATTGCCTTTAGTAATAGATATGTTACGAACGTAATAGCGCTGGCAACGCTGGCCAACTTGGTTCATTATATTGTTTAGTTGTTGCAACTTTTCTGTTCTTGAGTTCAGATGAAAATATGAACAGCTTTTATTACAAAAAAATATCTGTATAAAGAATTCTTTCAAACTTTTAAAGAAAAAAGCTAATTATGATATCTCAATAATAATTAACAACGAATCTTTAATAGGTTTGCTATTAATAAAAAATGCATAGATATGCCATTGGTGTAACTTTAATAAGAACTGTGAAGCTAACAAAGACTTTATACCGGGTGTTCAAATTAAAGTGTTAACGCTAAATACTGCCTGTTATAAAAAAAAAGTTTCAGTCGAAAGTTTTATAGTTTTGTAGGGAAAATTTTTTAGCTAAAATCGTTTTTTATAGCTAACCATAATATGGCCAACTTTTTTTTCGCCCAGCTAGATTTTCAAGTAGCTGTTACTCAAAAAGTAATAGCCCAATAAAAAAATATTTTTATCAAAAGTTTCTTATTTTTTATGTACTTTAAGAATATGTAAAAAAAAATGGGATTCCCATAAAAAAGAACAAAGTCCACCTCGATGTGGCCAAAATGTTTCCCCCAAAAAACTATAAAACTTTTGTCTGAAACTTTTTTTTTCTAAAATGCACATTTTCGGCGGTATTTAACTGTAACATTTTAATTTGAACACCCGGTATAAGTTAATGCTAATATTTACAGAACAAATATAATTTTAGTCTATCTGAAGTTTGTGTAGATAAAAACATTTTATTTTATTTAAGCAACGTCAGGGACTCTATCTTGGGCCACTCTTGTTTAATATCTATGTTAATGCTAACTTACACGGTGTGCCAATTTAAAAACTTACAATGGGTTATATCTCACAAACGAAAGATAATATCAAAAAATGCTTTCTAGGATAAGAAGGGAGAACGATAATGACATAAAAGAGAATCAACCCCTATCAAACCCCTAGGCCCACCTACCAGAACTAAAAAAGTTTAAATAGTAAATCCCTACTTGTGGTACATCTTTGAAAAGCATATAAAAAATTCTACCCATGTACCTAGTTTTCTCATTATCAATGGAATTTTTGTCAAGTTGTGTCAAAATGCAATAGAAATAGTTTACACAATAATTTTTAGATTAGTTTATTGCACCACTGCACATTACATTACTAATTATAATTATTAGTGAGCAGTTAATTGTTTTCTGATAAATTCTTACTTAACTCTGACTCAACGAGTTGCTTTTTTTAATTTTTAATTATCTAATATTCGGTTTTTGTATTAAGTTCATTATAAAGATGTTTTGTCATTTATTGCAAAATTTGTTACACAATCATTAAGATTATAAATATTTTTAGTCAGTTTTATTTGTTATAGCTATAAAGCCATTTAGTTGCTTTTGTATCTTGTATTTTGTATTTGGCATATAATTATTGTATAACTTGTCCTATACATTTTTTATGTCTAAAAAAAATTAATAAAATACAGGATGTCTGTAAAAGGTCTTTACAAAAACATACCACATATTCCTTAGACCAAAATAAGTCGATTTAAGTAAAATTACCTTAGTACAAAGTTGCTTCGTTTGGTCTCCTTGAATTTACAATTTTTTTTTTCCATATAAATTTAAAACGGCATATGCGATTTTGCTGAAATTTGGTATATTGGTAATAATTGCACCTTTAAAAATTCTACGCCAATGAAAGAAAAGGAGTTTGAGTATGAAATTTAGATTGCGCAACTCATTTACTTTAAAAAATGTACTCTTGATAACACTCGATTACTCTCATGGTTTTGACGAAATTTGCATTTTAGTAATTTTAGAACATAAACAATAATTATTAAAATACAAACTTTGTCAAAACCATGAGAGTAAATCGAGTGTTATCAAGGGTACTTTTTTGTAGTAAATGAGTACCCAATCCAAATTTCATACTCAAACCCCTTTTCTGCCATTGGCGTAGAATTTTTGAAGGTGCAATTATTTAAAAATCAAGTTCTACGCCTATGTATTATTATTGGACAAAATTTTATACGATGAAAAACATAAAAATGTACTTTTTTTCATATCTTCTTTAACACCTCTAATCGAAACTTTTATCAAAAATACTCGATTCTTGCTATGTACGATTTTTTGAGGAATATTAATTATTTGCCTGCAATACGTATACAAAAACATTTATTGTTGGTTTCCATAGTTTCATCTAAATAAAAATATTGTCAAGTTTTAAAACCTAATCTCTTGTTAACGATTGAAAGTGTTCTATCTGACTCAATAATTAAAAAAACAAATGCGTGGTTTATTAATATGGCTGTATAATATACCAATGCAGAATATACCGATATGTTACAGACATTAGGATTTTGTGAAGGAAATGCTCGAAAGAGTATCAGGGTGTACTCTGAAAGGTTTCCAAATCGTCGTGTACCTAGCCACCCAACTTTTGCTGCTGTTGAGAGACGTCTTCGGTAGACCGGTTCCTTTGCTCCCAATTCTGTTGATAATGGAAGAGAACGTTTTGTAAGGATTCCTGAAGTTGAAGAAGATATTTTAGAACGTGTTGAAGAAGATCCAGCATTAAGCACCAGACGAATTGGAAGGGAACTAGCAGTAAAGATGTCGTTCATTAAGTGCTTAGAGAACAATTGCTATATCCATACCATAAGAAGCCAGTACAATAATTATTAGTCCAAGATCCTCAAATTCGTGTGGGTTTTTGTCGATTTGTTAATATGCAAAGAGAAAGAGATCCAAACTTTGTCAAGAAGGTTCTCTTTACCGATGAAGCGGGTTTTACAAGAAGAGGTATAACTAATACCCATAATGAACATGTTTATGCCGTTGAAAATCCGCATGCAATAAAGGTAAACCATTTTCAGCACGAATTCAAAATTAATGTGTGGGCTGGAATAATTGGTAATTTCATTGTTGGTCCTGTCATACTTCCACGAATATTAACTGGAGAAAATAATTTGGATTTTCTACAAAATAGGTTGCCAGAATTAATTGTTAGAAGATTTACCTCTTCAACTTCGGAGAGATATGTGGTTTATACAAGATGGAGCTCCACCACATTTTTCTTTAAACGTTAGAAACCACTTGAATAAACAATATCCACACAAATGGATAGGCAGAGGTAATGACGCACCTGTAAACTGGCCACCACGTTCCTCATACCTAACACCGATGGATTACTTTTTATGGGGACATCTGAAATCCACAGTCTGTAGAAAATGAGGAACAACTCTGGCAACGTATTCAAGATGCAATAAACAATCTTAGAGGTGATGAAGAAGTTATGGAAAGGATACATTTTAATTTTCTTCGACGTATAAATCTTTGTATGCGTGAAAATGGTGAACATTTTGAACAATTTTTGTAAAATCTCTATTTTGATTATGTTGTAAATAAATATTTTTGTGAAACCTATACACCATGAGAGTAATCGAGTCTTATGAAGAGTACCTTTTTTAAAGTAAATGAGTTGCGCAATCTAAATTTTATACTCAAACTTCTTTTCTTCCATTGGCATAGAATTTTTAAAGGTGCAATTGTAGTACGACTGACTTTATCAGAAGAGGCTCGTTTAGATAAGTTAATTTCTAGATCAGAACTAGGAGATAAACGTCCATCAAATTTCTTTAGAGAATTATTACAAATCTCTGGTGACAAAATTATTGATGAGAAATTACTAATTGATATAATTGATATAGCTTTAACAGCATCTGGGAAGGACGACGTGACTGAATTATTGAAACTTTCAGAAAAAATTTGGGAATCTCAAAATTCAAAAATGAATATAAACGAAATTCAAGGTCCAAGTACACAAACTGACAATACATTTATCTATCAACGTAATTATGACAGAGAGAAGAGTAATATGTAGTACGAAGCACTACAGCAATTATTTAAAAAATCAAGTTCTACGCCTATGTATTATTATCGGACAAAATTTTAATACCATTTTTTTTGCCACATAAAACTCTACCAATATGCCAAATTTCAGGAAAATCGCTTATGCCGTTTTAAATTTATATGGGAAAAACGTTTTAAAAATTGTAAATTCAAGGCTCTCTGGAGCCCAAACGAAGCAACTTTGTACTAAGGTAATTTTACTTAAATCGACTTATTTTGGTCTAAGGAATATGTGGTATGTTTTTATAAAGACCTTTTACAGACACCCTGTATAATAATGATAATTATTACTAAAGTCCCAAATAAAAATAAACGTATTTTTTGTAAAAATAAAATTCATTGCTTACCTGTTATGCGGTCTAGTGGAGGAGTTCCTTCTGAAATGCTGCGGCGTGCCGGATCTATTGGACCCATTATGATTAGGAGGAAAAACCCTAGGAAGTCCGAACTTCAAGTAAGTGTACATATTGGAACCGAGCGCTGACCTACAAATGCGAGAAGAACTTGTAATGACTTTTTTACTACAACAGCATCTTAAAATAAGTGTTTTAGCCATAGATTTTTTGCTACGAGGAATGGTTTATAATTACTAAATATACTTTATAAAAGCTAATATAATATTTATGATATTTTTAAATGAACATAATTTACCAAATCAATGGTGTCTATGTCGCCGTTAATATTTTTTTCAGGATAGGTAATTTTATTTGTTGTCTATTCAGAAACTTTAAACCTTGTAATAGCAAATCAGGAAAACATATCGGTGATAAAAAAGAATTTATTAGAAAAAGTATTAAATAGAATGCATTTTTTTTGCATATGGTTCTTAGAAACATCAGCCAAAAAGGGTGAACATTGGTTTCTTTTAGATCTGCTCTTTTCAAAATGCATGGTAAGTGCACAGCTTATACAATACAGCTAAAACACTCTCTTGGCGGCAACGGTTTGCGTCGATTTCGTCGCGCATCGCTTAAGCTCCGCCTTCGAAGGGAAAAGACGGTTTTGGTGTTCAAAAGCATACTTAGGTAAGGTGTTGAGTCGTGCGTATAATTTCGTTGATTGTATAATTTCGTGGAGCCTATAATTTCGTTGATTTTGTTTGAGTTAAAGGTACTGTTATTATTTTGGTGACTCTTTAGCTATGAGTAGAATGAGTGAAAAAAAAAACATCATTCTGTTTGTGCAGTCAAAAGCTGTTTTAATAAGGGTTATACCTGCAAGAAAACATTCTTTAGTTTTCCCAAGGACCCAAACCGATAAGTACCACATTATAAGAATTTTTCATTGTTAAAAATATAATTTATACAGGGTATCCCATTAGTGCGTTATTGTTCATTATTTTGTTGTAGACACGCAAGAAAGTTTTAAATAAAAGTTATATGGATTTGAAAAATACCTACATATTTTAAAAATATCTTTGGATATACAGGGTGTCACGTTTTTGCCTGGCAAATTAAAATGTATGTTTTTTAAATGGAACACCTTGTATTTTATTTTATTTTATGATAAAATTATTAACTCCCTAAATTATTGTAAAGACGAATTGATACAGAAAAATTTTATCAGGTATGTGTGTGGTTACCTTTTAATAAAAGCCTTGCGGATCTACTCCTCTGCGATACCTGTCTTAAATATAACAAAGATCACGTTGAATTAGATGATTTTTCTTTTTATTGCTTTTTAAAGGCATATGATAACGCCAATCCAGATACATTTGGAAATCTGCAACTGTCAAATGATGAATTTGTAGAATTAATATTCAATATTGAAAAGATATTTCAAAATAATTTTGAAGAATTGGCTACAAAAAATAACATTTGTACCACACTTTTAGAATTAATTAACCCAATACCCTTTAGTCATCCATGCTAACCTTTTTTTAAAAGAATAACTTATTTTATTGTATGTTTAATCTCAATAACTAAAAAATATACTGACAATTAGTTTGACAGAATTGTCATTTATTTAAAATTTTAAAAATAATAGCAGTCGGTTGATCAAAATATGAACGGTGATTGGCGAATTTATTTTTTTTTGCAGTGTTCTCACTACCTAGAATGGATATGAAATATATTCGTTCAATTGAAGGCAATAGCATACTTTTTCGTTTTGTAATCTGTGCATGGATATTAGCCAATCTATGCACATACTACAAAACGAAAAAGTATGTTATTTCGTTCAACTACGAATATATTTCATATCCATATTTTGGTCACCCAACTCCTATTATTTAAATTTTTTTAAATAAGTGACAATTCTGTTAAACTAATTTTCAATATATATTTTAGTTATTGATATTAAATATACATTAAAATTTTTGTGTAAACTCGATAAATAATAGCATTTTTGTTTTTATTGTGTCCACATTTAAAAAAAAATAAATTTTAATCAAACAACATGATACTAATTTAATTACGAGTATTAAAACTAAAGTCCTGAAAGTTTCGGTGAAGATGAGGACACAGCATCTGCCTTCCACGCGAAAAGCCCGGGATCGAATCTAGGCCGAGGACTAATTAATTTTTCATGTTAATTTTATTTTATAAATTAGTCAACTTCGTAAATTATTTTAAAATTAGTTATTTTGTCTAAATAACCTAAAATAATTTTTTAAATTTGTAGATTTTCGTTAGTGGGTCGTAGAAAAAATATACTGACCATATCGAGTGGATTGTTCATATCACAATCAGACGATTGAGTACTCCGCATACGACGTCGTGCTCAAACTTCGTCTTTGTGTGATATTGCTATCATATCCACCCTTGTTGAACAAACTATAATTTATTCGTTTTCTTGGTTTAAACCAAAACTTAAGTTTTACATCAGAAATAGGAACTAAATTAATTTACTTTTCAAGTTTTCTTGTAAAAATCGATATTACTTTCTCCAAGTACAAATTTAGTACCTACCTAAAATAAGTACTAATTATGTAATATCGTGTAATATTGTAATTCAAATTTCACATTACTATAAAGTTTCAAAATTCCCTACTTCGGTATGGTCAGATAAAAATTGAATATATTATATTAATAAAAACTGTCAAAGTATTCTACAAATCTGTATTTTAATTAATAAGAATACATCTAAATATAACCAATATTGTTATAATAAAAGCACAAATTCTTTATAATTCCAAAATACCATAGAGTACCCAGACCTCAGTCGAAGCATTCGTTTATCTAGGTATAAACCCTTTGCGCGAAGAGTAACACTTGCCAGAGACACGGGGTACCACTTGATTTGCATCCACGAGCGTGACACAATTCTTTAACAATTGAAGCCCTTGGTGTAAAAAGGATCCAAGCCACAATTTGTCGTGAAGTGACTGTTTTAGCTCAAAACATTTGTTAACGAGGATTTTACTAGCCACATACAAATTATTTTACCTCTAATCCGAAAGATGTGCTATTTTTCGTAATATTTATATTTAAATAATGTTTCTAATTATATTTGACAGATTTAAAACAAATTAAAAATTTAATTTCCCAAAACTTACTTAATATGGCATGTAACCAACCTTATTACGCCAAGGTTTTCAATTTTTTCAATAATAAAAAACTTGTTTAATCCGGGCCCGACTTTTCCCTCGAATCTAACAGAGATAGCACCATTCCGTCTTGCTTGGTTCTCGACCGCCAGATCAAAGACGCCGACACGGAGTTGTGGAGCTGTATTGTATAAGCTGTGGTAAGTGTTCATCGTGAGATGTACTAACTTTTTAATTCTATTTAATGGCGGTTTAATACCTTGCTTGGCAAATAAAATAATTCTCTTTTTCTCTTAATTTTTATTCTCTGAATTTTTTCCGCATATTTTTCTTATGTTTAATTAAAGTTAAAGTTGTCCATTAATCCAGGGTTTTAATTTGTTTTGAGAACATTTTTTGTTTTTTGTGTTGGCCTTCACAATTTCAAAGATCTTTGTATGAAATAGTGTCCACATATCTTCTCCTAATACAGTACTTCTAAAAAAGTGATTTCAATCAATTTCAGAGAGGACTCTCTTTACGTTATTAAAGTTTGTGACACTATAGGTTACGTCCCTATCGGGATTAGGGGTTTCTATGTTAAATTGCATAGTATATATAATAAGGCCATGGTCAGATTTCCCAATAGGTGAGTGGACAGATGGGGAAATTAGAAGTTAAAGGTCTAGAGTTGATTTAAGCGAAAGCGAGTAGGTTCATTTATAAGTTGTTCAAGATTGGAGTCTATAATAAAATTTATAAAGTGTGAAACAGAGTTTTGCGATACTTCAAGACCTGCAGTAAGTGGCCAGGAAATTTCTGGGAAGTTGAAATTCCCAACCACCACACGATTGTCATGATAAATAGATGGGTTTGAAAGTACCTCAAAAAGCTGTTGGTTGTTTTCTTTGGAGAACGATATAAACATACCAGAGTGGTTGAAAAAGATAGGTAAATGCACCAACATTATTTGCGCGGTCGCTTCTGTAAATTGCGAATCCAGGAATGTTAATAAGTGAATCAGGAATAGACAACTTGAGCCAAGTTTTAGAAATTAGAATATGCTGGGAGAAAAATAAAAAAAATGAATTTAGCAGTAAGAGAATCTCTATCTGGCCAGCAACTATTAGAAGAGCTCAATAGATCTGCCTGGGGTTCAAGTATTTTGATTTATTCATTTACCTTTCGCATAACCTTCCAATGTCTTCGATGTATATTTTTGGGACAGTGTCATATTGATAATCATATTGAATTATTGACAAAATAAAATTATAAATCATTCCTCGTAGATAAGAAGTTTCGTATTTCCTTTAAGAGAATGTGATACTTACTTGGGTCCGTAACGAGGATGCGACAAAATGGACTGGACTGTGGTATCACGCAACTGAAAGTTGCCATAAGGAAGTGGACTTTTATCCGTCGAACCAAGAGCGCTATCCGTGAAATCGGAGTTTAGGTTTTGTCTGTAATAAAAAAAATCGCTCGTTTTGTTTCGGTTTTCGAGTAGCAAGGAAATCGTTGATTTGAATTAGATAACACATTGGTGAACTAATTTTTTTATATCTAGTATCTTTGATATGAATTAAATAAATATACTTTTAACTGCATTTATAACTTTCGGTAAATATAAAGCGCCATATTTAGCATACACTGGAACAATCCGAATCAAATTTAATACTTCTAAATACTAATGTACCCTTTATAACTAACACTGTTAACTATGAAGAACTCTTTGAGACGATTGAATCGATTATTCTGTAATTTTAATATCTCTAATTATGCTAACGATATGAAAATCTGAAAGTTTTCCACATTATTATACATTTTTTGCACTATTATTCTATTTATCTTAGTTTAATAGCATTTATAATTCTTATCTGGTTATCTATAGAGATCACTGTATAATTAAATAGTCCCTGGATCAGATGGTTTGTCAGGACGAACACCATACTGTCTTGAAGATCTATTGTAAGTTGAATGAAAAATGTCTAGCTGGTAAATGAATATAATTTTCGTAAAACGAATTATTTAAAGTTATACCAAATTATTGCTAAGATTGATTGATATTTTTAGATACATTTTAAAGTAATAATTATACTATTATAGAAAAATTTACAATGTTCTTGATAGTTGTATACTTCTAAAAATTACACACCTTTGTTTAATTTATAACATTATATTAGTCTAAAATAAAATAGCCGGAAGAGGCAGATACAATTCATAGCTACACCGACGGTTCTGAAACAAAACAAGGCTCAGGATATGACATACACTCCATATCTTTAAATCTAAACCCTAAACATAAGATACCATAGTGCCATTCAGTCCTCGGATACATATTTAACAGTTGATAATATTAGTAGTTTCAGTGGAAATGACGTAGTAATGTGTGCTTTAAAAAAAATGAAGGTGCCGATTATATTACGGCTTTCCTAATTACAGATTGTGCATATGTCCTTGCTGATCGTCTACCTGTAACTTGTAATTTTTTGAAATTGTTTGAAGTATTATTATCTATCACATTGTGACACTGTTGCTTTTATTAAAGGTGACTAAAAGGGTTTTAAAACATTTTTATTACAGGGCTACTGTTTGAATGAGAAAGAAAGACCAATTTTTGTGTACCCCAAGGTTCGGCGATATTGTTTATAAGCATTGTATACTCTTTTGGCTCTGTTTTTTAAGTGTGAGTTTTATGTTAACTTTCTATCAAAGGTACTTCACCTCTGTTGCAAAGTTTAGTTTTTGTTCAGCAGCTCTAAAGGTTTTAATTCCATTTGCATCTTTTTCCTTACGAAAAGGACCATTTCTGTCCTCTTGAGATTAATAGACATTGAATGGTTCTTGCACCACTGTTTTATAATAATTTTGGGAGCTACTTGCATTCTTTCGCAAATTATGTTTAACAAAATTCCCTGTTTGCAGAATGACCTGTCATTATTGAGGCAGCTGATGAGGGTGTCGAGGACCATGTTTCACAAAAGAAGTGATAGCACCCCTCTGTGTGGAGATTACCTCGCATTACCTCTTCACATCTTCTACACTTGTCTACTGCTCTCTTTGAAACCAGCAACTAGATGAAGAGTTGAATCAATAGATTTAGCTAAGGTGTATGCATGTTGACTTGGGTGTAATGGTGTTGTAATTACTATACAGGGTGTCCTTTAAAATGTGTCCCAAAATCCTCAGGCAGATTCCTTAACCAAAAAATGGAAAAAAAGTTCCTATAGACCTATGTCCTAAAGTGCCCCCTAAGCGAGCAACAGGCTCTCGAAATCATTTTTTTTATTTTGATTTTTTGAATTTTCTTAAAAATGGAAACAAATAAAAGAACCAAATTTTGGCTGTTAAATATGATCAATAATAGTGACCTTTTGACACCTTCAAAAAGAAATTATTTCGTCAGGGGTGTACTTGGGAATTTTTTGAAAATTTTGATTATTCATAACTTTTTTGTGTTTTTGGTAATGACTTATCCATATTTTTTTTTACATTCTACATTGAAAACTACGTCAAAAAGGAATACTTGTTTGATCTCGATTGGAGCAGCCGTTTCCGAGAAAACATCATCCAAAGATATTCGTGCAGTTTAGGTTAATTTTCAATTTTGGCTGTTGTAGCCAAAAAGTTGGAAATCGAGGAACACGGCTTACATGTCCCTATCCTTACTTTTGAAGGTCTATTCAGTGGCAAAAAATATTAGTTGATACAGGGTGATCAAAAATCGGATGTGATTTTGGATTTTTGATCACCCTGTATCAAATAATATGTATTTTATGTCACTGAATAGACCTTAAAAAGTTAGGATAGGGACTGTAAGCCGTTTTCCTCGATTTCCAACTGTTTGGCTACAACAGCCACCTGAATTTGAAAAAATGTGATTTTTGAGTAGCTGTAGATCCTTTACTATTCATATTAGATAACAAGTGTGATATATCATTGAAATCAGATTATCGAGCAGATTCTAAAAATATAAAAATATACAGGGTGTTCCATTTAAAAAACATAACTTTGATTTGGCACGGCCTTATGAAACACCCTGTCACATCGTAACTAATTTTAAAATGTGAAGCTTAAAGCTGCCTACTTTTATTATAACAGATCTACAGAGCTTCCTCACACTAATCAATCACCCTGTATACTATTTTTAGCTCTCTAAATAAAATTTAAAAATTTAGTTCCCATTTATTTATTATGAAGACCATAAGGTTTGTATTTAGCTGTTTAGAATAAAAAAGTAAAAATATGTATTTTTTTGGCGTTTTTGTGTTTCATGGATAATTTTTTTCGCTCACTGATAAAAATGTTTCTTCAGTTAAACATTATTTCTAAAAGTGTTCTGGTGCGATTCGTTGTATTGTATTGGCTCACAATAACTACAATAATGATTACACATTCGGCGAAATGACGGACATGCACTTATGTTTTGGACTCGCTTCTGGAAATGCCAATGAAGCTCGCAGACTTTATCAGGAGCGCTTTCCAAATAGGCATCTTCCATGCGCTAAGACGTTTTCTAGAATTGACGATAGACTTCGGGAAACTGGTACATTTAAGAAAAACTCTAGTAACAGTGGAAGACAAAATTATGTGAGAACTCCTGCTTTGGAAGAAGCAATTTTGGATAGGGTAGCTGAAACCCCATCGACAAGTACCAGAAAAATAGCAAATGGTACGTAATTACTTATTTATTATTTTAGCTACCCCGTACCTTATCGTATAAAACTAGTTTTTTTACTTGTTATTGCTTCTCTTACATTTCACGACTTTTCGTATCGAAAAGAGTTGCGTTATGCAGAAAAAATCTGATTTCCCAAATCAATGGATTCTCTTTCTTAACTATTCACTACACAGATTCTCTCATTTAATTTCAGAAGTGGGAGTCGGACGTAACACGGTATGGAAAGTTTTGCGTGAACAACAATTGTACCCTTACCACATTCAAAAAGTTCAGGCACTTAAAGCTACTGATTATGAGCCGCGAGTTATCTTTTCTGAATGGTTTCTTGGAAGATGTAATCAAGATGCAATGTTTCTTAATAAAGTGCTATTTACCGATGAAGCTGGTTTCACTAGAGATGGTACAATAAATTTTCGAAATATGCATGAATGGGCTGAAGATAACCCTCACGCGGTTGTTGAACGTCACCACCAGGATAAATTTTCAATAAACGTCTGGGCTGGAGTTATTGATAATTACCTTATTGGACCATTTGTTTTGCCGAATAGGTTAAATGGAGCAGCATACAGGCTTTTTTTGGAAAATAACTTACATGAGCTTCTTGATAATATTCCGATTCAAATCAGACATAACATGTGGTTTATGCATGATGGAGCTCCACCACATTACAGCCTTGAAGCTAGACAGCACCTTAACGAAAGATTTGAGGGTAGAGTAATTGGCAGAGGTTGTCCTGTTAACTGGCCACCTCGTTCACCAGATCTAAATCCAATGGATTTTTTTGTTTGGGGTTATTTAAAATCATTGGTTTATTCCAGTCCTGTTGAAACAGTTGAAGAATTGGAAGAACGAGTTTTTCATCATTGCGAAGTTCTTAGGAATAATCCTGAAGTATTTTTTCGTGTAAGACAGTCTATGATGCGACGGTTGCGCTTGTGTGTGGAAACCAATGGTCGCCACATTGAGCATCTGCTTTAATTTTTTTTTATTTGTTTTTTTAGAATAAATATTTTTTTAAACCGTTTCTTATTATTAAATAAAAATAGTCCCACCACGACATTTGAACTACAATTATTTAGAGAGAGCTAAAAAAGTTATTTTTATTTACGAGATTCACCGAGGTAATTTAGGAAAATTGAAAATTAAGCTAAAGTGGACGAATATCTTTAGATGATGTTTTCTCGGAAACGGCTGCTCCAATCGAGATCAAACAAGTATTCCTTTTTGACGTAGTTTTCAATGTAGAATGTAAAAAAAAATATGGATAAGTCATTACCAAAAACACAAAAAAGTTATGAATAATCAAAATTTTCAAACAATTCCCAAGTACACCCCTGACGAAATAATTTCTTTTTGAAGGTGTCAAAAGGTCACTATTATTGATCATATTTAACAGCCAAAATTTGGTTCTTTTATTTGTTTCCATTTTTAAGAAAATTCAAAAAATCAAAATAAAAAAAATGATTTCGAGAGGCTGTTGCTCGCTTAGGGGGCACTTTAGGACATAGGTCTATAGGAACTTTTTTTCCATTTTTTTGTTAAGGAATCTGCCTGAGAATTTTGGGACACATTTTAAAGGACACCCTGTATAGCTTTCCATTTATAAAGTAATTTACCTCTATTTTTGGAAATAAATACCACACAGTATTACTTAACAAAATATTCCTTATCAATCATTCTAGTTATAAGTTATTTAATTAAATCAAAACTCTAATCCAAAAATATCCATAATTATTTCGACCTTCAATAAAAAAAGCCCTAAATGCTGCTCCGAGAAAGCTTAAATCTGTTTAATTTGTTATTTATTCTTAGAAATCGTTATACGGAGCTATTAATGCCGTAATTTGTTGTGTGGAAATTTTCTGGAATTTCAGTTTGAATGGATCTCGAATCTCGATGTCCTTGGTTTAATTTCGAAGCCTACACAACTAAGAAAACATAGTCTGTGGAGTAATTTGGGTTTATAAAAACCGCCAAATCAATATATAGGTTTTTAAGGGATATTAATGGAATAATAGTATAAAGTAATAGGTTAAGATATACAAGGATGCGATGAAGAATTTTCAGCTTAAGAGAAAAAAAAATATTTTTTCTACATTCATATTATCTACGCACATACTACAAAACGAAAAAGTATGACATTACGTTCAAGTGAAAAGATATATTTCGTATTCATTCTGGGTAGTAAAAACACTGCACAAATATGAAATTCACCAATCATAGTTCATATTTAGGCTACTGGTATTTTTTAAATTTAAAAAGTGACATTTTTGTTAAACTAATAATTAAATATTCTTAAAAATGAGTTATTCTTGTGTTGAATCGGTAACTAAGAGCATTTCTATTTTTATTCCGTCTATATTTAAATCTGGATTGCAGACTAATTAAATTAAATCTTCTTTTTCATCTTTATTTTATATTATAAATTAGTAAAAGTCATAAATAAGTTATTTTATCTTAATAAACTAAAATAATTTTTAAAATTTGTAGCAAAAGTGGTTCGTAGAAAAAATATACTGTACAAGTCGAGAGCATTGTTCATATCCACTCTTGTTGAACAAGCTACTATTATAGAGGTGTGACAATTAAGTAATGAGACCGATTTTATTGCCGCGCTTGTGGTAAACTTGCGACCTTGAAACTCCCTTTCCCCTTCCCCGACATCCTTTCCCTTAATATTTTTACCATCTCTCTAGTTTGTTTAGTTCGCCGGCTGTGTCGTGTTTAGTAGACGGGTGTTGGTGGTGCTCGTCACGAAAATGGAGAAGAAAAATCTAGAGCAACACGTCGCGATTAAATTTTGCGCCAGATTGGGCGAAACAGCTTCGGGAACGTACACTAAAATCGTAAAAGTGTATGGTGATAGTGCTCTCAGTCGTGCCTAGGTGTTTCGATGGCATGAAGCGTTGAAGAACAGGCGCGGAGCGGGAGACTAGTCGAGGTGCGGACTGACCTTTTTTGATAGCCGTGGAATTGTCCATAAAGAATTTGTTCCATCGGCACAAACCGTAAATCAAGTCTACTACCGTGAAGTACTCGAAAGATTGCGAAAACGAGTCAACAGGGTGCGCCCAGGCATCGCAAACAACTGGATCCTTCATCACGACAACGCGCCGTACCACACCGCTCTCAGCGTGTTCCAATATTTGGCCTCTAAAGGGATCACTTTGTTTCCACAGCCGCGTTATTCACCTGGTATGTCATTCTGTGACTTTTTTCTGTTCCCTAGAGCAAAATCGATGTCAAAGGAACCCATTTTGAGTCGGTTACGGACATCCAAAAGACCGTGACGAGGGTACTCGCAGACATCCCAGTCGAAGCGTTCCAGAAAACGCGCTGGAAACGTTGTATAGCTGCCCATGGGAACTACTTTGAAGGGGATGGCAGAGATGTAGAATAATTTTTAAATATACGGATTTTATGAAATCAGTCTAATTACTTAATTGTCACACCTCGTAGTCTCCTTGTCCCTTCTATAGGCACATATTTTCTGACAGAATTCTTATGCATATACACGTGTGCACAAAAATTTGGTTTTTGGTAAATATTTACTGACTTTTTTTATAGCATCAACTGTAGTTGCAACTAGGTACTAAGTATTTCAAAAAAAGGGATGTTGCAGCAAAAATTATCTGGGAGATTTTATCAACATTTAGTTACTCGTTATTTTGTTTGTTTAAACATTACCACACGGTAATTATTCAAAGTAAATCTCGAGTTGTAATTATTTTATTGTTTGGTTTAGTAAACGGAAACGTGTTTCGTACTTTAAGCTAGTGTATGCGCCGGTAGATGGCGCAAAGAAATTTAATTTAGATGAGGAAAAACATCAAAATATTTTCCAGTGATATATAAATTTCTTTCTTTTATAACCATTATATCAGGCGAATATGGCTGATATAAACAAAATAATTTCTTATCAGGAGAATATTGTCTAAAAGGTGACTTGCAGTGAAGGAATATAAGAGAAAAGCGAAAGAAAATATTAAATAATAAAAAGCAATGAAAAAGGACAAAGATAATGAAGGCGAATAAATTTGAGGATACCAGTTTGAAGAAAAAAATGTTTTCACCCCGAATTCCGAGAAAAATTCGAGCCAAGCTTTCAATGAAAAATTATTCGAGAAGAAATTACTCCAGTGATACCAGGAAAATCAGTTCAAGCAAGCTCTCGATTGAAAATTACTCGAGTGACGCACACATGGAAAAATTCATGCGATGATCCCAAGAAAAAACAGTCCAGTTAAGCTTTCGAGGAAAAGCTATTACTGGTAAGCTCTCAATGAGAAATTACTTAAGTGATGCAAAAGAGGAAAAAATCGAGCAAATCACTCGAGTTTTTGATGAAAATTTTAAGGATCTATAAATTCTTAAATTAAAATATGCTGCAAATAATAAAAGCTCTTTTTTCGTTAGGAAATAATCCTGATTTTCTTTATTTTTAAATATATTGATGAATAGATGACATACATCTACCGGCACATAGCTTTTAAGATAATCAGATAGTTCAAGCATGTTTAAGCAATCCATGTGATTTACAATGGCCTTCGTTTGCTGTATTATGGTACATAAAGAACTTGAATAGAGCACCGCAATTATATTTGTAGATACTCAGAGTTTTGAAATTGTTAAATTTAATTTAAATCTTTTTAACTTACCCATAAAGATGGTATTTATGTTAATGTAAATTTGTAGAGGGATAACTCCATCAGCCACTTGCTTACACTATTTTTTCTATGACCATTTTTAATATAAATTAATTAAATAAACCAATTATTATTTTTTAATAGCTGAACTGCCTATACGTTTTTGAATTTTCCGCGATACTGTCCACGTTCTGTCGTTATTTGAAAATTGATTGTCATATTAATATTCTACAGTAACCTATCATTTAAGTATTTTTTATTATATAAATTCTATCTAAATTTTTTATTGGTTATAGGGCAAAATGATAAAGAGCAAGGGAAAAAAGAATATTCATATGAAGTGAGAATAAGAGAGAGAGAGAGAGAGACACAGTAAAAAAAATCAAACAGTGAAGTGGTACTAGGGGTCATTCCGTTGAAAATATTATAACTTTATTTGCAGGTGCATTTGAATATAGGCCAATGTCTATGGATAATTATATCAAAATTTGATAATTTTGGCTGAGTTAATAATTGAAAAAAGTGTTGTCCCTCTAGACAACCACGTCGAAATCAATTCACGGAAGAACGGGCAATTAGGAAATCGCAAATCTGTGCATTAGCTGAAGTCCACTTATCAGTTTCTTACAAAGTGGGATATAGCGCAAGCTTGTTTTTGTAAAATCGTAATACTTAAAAAAAAATTTAAGCTAAATCTGTATATACCTATTATTCTAATCAAGCAAATATTTTTCATTATTTTATGTAAATCTATTTAAAAAAATGTACCTGTATATTGACCATGCATGTAAATCTTCGCTAGCCGTACCTCCTGAAAAGGCTCGGGATTCTGGATTGGACGGCACTGAATATTTTCTTTCCATTTCGAAACCCTGCGAACCACCCCCTTGAGAGGGGGTGCGACTTCGCACCATTTTGTATTATCTCCGATCTGTAACAAATAAATATACAATTAAATCATTTTATATGATATTTTTTTAATAATTTAATTATTTAAGGAGCACATTCTCATAATTTTGACTATAATTCACAAGTTTTTAAAAAATACTGAAAGAAAATTACGTTAAAAATGGAATTAATCTTAAAAAAAACAAACCAAACATTATTAGTTATAATACAAATTATCTCCCATTGCTTTCCGATGTAATGTGTTAATTTAAAACGATGCGCTGTTTTATTGAAATGCATTACAAATAAACATGCATAGTTAGGTAAATCGTAGATCCTTTACTATCTAAAATCATTATCCCGTTACGTGTAACTTAAACAGTGTATCTATTACATCTGAAAGTCTCAATTGTTTGCATGTATGCTTGTATGTAACGTGTTATTCAATTGTAATAGTAGAAATTGCAAAAGTAAATTAGAAGCTTGTACGGATTATCATTTAATTGAGATTTTCCTAAAGAAATAGTATAGTTAAATGATTAAAAACCATCAAAACTATTATCAATTAACATTTTGATTAACAACCAGTCAATGAAAAAATGACTCATTTTGAGACAAGGTTACATATTTGATGTTTTGTTCTTATGAATAGAACCGTCTGTATACCAAATGATTTCTGCATGACTAACAGATCCTGAATTCTACGATTTATTGTATGGTATACCTATTTTATATGGTTTTTAATAGCTAATAGTAGTTAAGCTGTTTGTTTCATTTTCATTTTGAATGAATATGTGTAGTTAGTTTTAGGGTGACTTCTAGGGCTGTTTTGGACTCATCCTTATGACTACTGTGAGCATGCTTGCCTTTGAATACCGCTATTCTTTTGAATAGATCTAGCTTTCCTAGTCCTTGGCCACCACGCCACTACAACATTTAAATAGTTTAACATAGGCCTTATCGTTGTAATACCCGATTTTTACAGTACAACCTTCGACATAAATTAAATAATAATAATAATAATAAATAATAATAATAATACTCTCCCTAATTGATAGACTTAATTTTTGGGTGGTGTAAGTGTAAGGATAATAGAATAATATTCCTATATTTTGAATTAAACAACTTCTTCAGCAACTCCCAATATGGTTTTAGACGCTCTCGCTCTACTACACAGGCTGTTCTCAATGTTGTGAATGATGTAGTTGAGGAACTTGAGCAGGGAAATCACATAGCAGTAATGTTGTGTGATCTGTCAAAGGCTTTCGACTGCGTCTCTCATGATATTCTTCTGGAAAAGCTAAGCTTTTATGGAGTTAGGGGAATTCCGCTTGCACTAATAAATTGATATATCAGTAACAGACAACAAGCTGTGATGGGTAATGGTGTTCTGTCTGACTTTCAGGCTGCAAGGCAAGGGGTTCTACAAGGTTCTGTCCTGGACCCTCTTTTATTTATTGTTTATGTTAACGATCTAAGCCGTTTTATTCTACCTAATAAATCAGTTTTATTTGCTGATGATACAACACTCATCTTAACAGACAAAATTAATAAAAATTTAATTTCTTCGTTTGATGAAATTGCGGACAAAGCAAACACATGATTCTCAATCAACAAATTAAAACTTAACAGTGAAAAAACTCAAAATATGCAGATATCTGCCAATAATCAAATTATGTCAAAATGTGAAACAAAAAACCTAAAATTACTTGGTATTACATTGGATAACAAACTCAATTGGTCGGCCCACATTAATTAGTTAAAGAAAAAACTTTCTAGTTCTTTGTTTATTCTTCGGCAGTTGAAAAAACTTACCAACTTAAATACCCTCAAAACTACGTATTTCTCTCTCTTTCACTCGCATGTCAGCTATGGTGTACCACTTTGGGGAAACTCTTCTCAGTCTATTCAAATCTTCCGGATGCAAAAAAAAGCTATCAGAATTATGGCTAACATTGGATTCAGAGAACATTGTCAACAATATTTTATTAAATTTAAAATTATGCCACTACCTACTTTATATCTACATCATACACTTATTGAAATTCATAGAAAACAGTCTGTTTTGCTAAAACAGTCCGATATTCATAATTACAAGACACGTAATTCACATTGTAGTAGAAATACTCGTTTTAGGTTATGTCTATCTGAAATAAATTCCCTAAATTATAACTTAATTAACATATTACCGCAGAACTTTAAAAATTTAAGTAATAATGCTTTAAAAAAAAAAACATTAAAAAAATATCTATTGAGACATTGTTTTTACTCTGTCAATGATTATGTAGCTCATTTTCGGTCTGTATGAGACATCTCATTGTCACTCTACCTCATCACAATTTTAACCTTGATAAGTACCTAATAATTATTGTTTTTATTGACATTGTTCAAATTCTGGTACTCTAATAATTATTGTTTTATTTATATTGTTCAAATTCTGTTACCACCTATGACTTGCTGTAAACATAATGACTTATATTAAATAGTTAATAAAATTATTCTATTCTATTACAATTATAAATCCTGCCTACACAAAAACTGTTATCACGTTGACCGATGATATTTCTCATGAAAATAAGTCTCCTGGTGACTTCAATCCAGTAAATAACTTTCGTATTCTAATTTTGTGACGGTTTACTCTTAGTTCCTCTTCAACATTATTTAGGACCATTTGAGACATCCGGTATACAATCAACATTAATACGATTTTTTTTTATATTTGCAAACTTTTTTAAGTGATTTCGTTCGATTATTTCCGCTTTAACAACATCATCTGAGTTTCTTCAATTTAATAAAAACTTTTTACAAAAAAACACGATAAATCCAGACAGGTATACGTACTTGAAAACGAAATTTTAATTCGAATATGGAAGTTTTATATTAATTTCCGTTCATGATTGCAAACGCAAACTTTCTTGAAACTGGTCTTTCGATTCCTATTCGAGATTAAGTCTTTTCAGTTTTATCTAAAAAGAGTTTGCTACATCTTGATGGGCAGTAATTGGAATTGTTGGAAATAAATTTGATTTTTAGAATGAAACTGCGTGCGGTAATATTATATTTTTAATTTTGAAGCCATTTCTCGTGGAATTCATATTAAGAACAAGAAAAATGGGAATAAAAAGAGAAAGAGAGTAATTCCTGAAAAGTTACTCGTAACAAAATGGATCTTCTGACGATGGAGTAAGATTTTACTATTAATGTTATCTGAAAATACACCTATTAAAGAGAAAAACAAATAAGTATTCATATGTAGTTAATATTACAGATGCGTACATCGGACACATGAACAAAATGAAATAAAAACTTTTTAATTTGAAAAGTTAGTTTTATTGATAACTACGACTCTACTTTTTTAAATTAGAATATGTAAATTTAAATATAAGAACTTTTTAATTCAGTACCAACAAAATGTAAACAAATAAAAATAACAAATGAATCAATATAAAGCTTATCAATTACACATTCCAACATTTTACAATTACTCTACCAAAATATCATATATGTATAAATGTTTTCATTGAAACTCTACTCAGTCCTAATTACAGTTATATAGGACTCTATTAGTCCTGATTGTCTAAAAGTTGGAATACTTCAATGTTGTTGTGTTCATGACCCGTGACAATAAACTGTATAAACATGTACAAAAAACTATTCATATAATAAAATGGAAAATTTTTGCAATAAAATGGACATTTTGTACATAAAAATTAACAATAAAAACTATCTATTGCAATATTTCGTTCTGGGATAATTCAAATCACATATTTGTATTTTATATTTTAATAAATACTAGTTCTCTTGTTGAAAGCCAATAAAAGTTAAAAAACAAATAAATATTTTTATCTCTATAACGACATTTGAAGTTCATAAAGAAACTTGAACTACGTAGATGCATTCCATTGACGAAATATAAAGAAATTTCATTCAAACATGACTAAGTTTACTTGTTTACAGAAATAATATTACTCTCATGGAATATAAACGTGTTTTCATAGAAATATATTTCCAAAAGGTCAAAAAAAATTAATCATAAGTTGTTTCGGTTGGATTGTTCCCTTTTAACATACTAGGTATATTTTATTCTAGTTTAAATGTAATGTAATATGCGACTACTTCAATTTCAATCCCTATTCCTTTTTACATAATGGGCATTTTTCAAAATTTTATCTCGTTTTTTGTGTCTCTCCCTTAAATTAAATTTACAATTAATTTTAAATCGATATTAGAAATACCCTATACTATATAAAATTATGTTTTCTTTTTGATAAATCTAGTTCTAATTTTATATCTCTATTGGTTTTTACATAATGGACAATTTTCTTAGTTTCATCTCGTTTTTTGTGTCTCTCCCTTAAATTAAAATACCAATTAATTTTAAATCGATGTTAGAAATACCTTATACTATAAAAAATAATAGTTTTTTTTTGATAGATCTAGTTTTAATTTTCTATCCGTATTGGTTTTTACATAATGGGTATTTTTCCAAATTTTATCTTGTTTTTTGTGTCTCTCCCTTAAATTAAAATTACAATTAATTTTAAATCGATGTTACAGATACTCTATACTATAGAAAATGATGTTTGCTTTTTGATAGGTCTAGTTTTAATTATCTATCCCTATTGGTTTTTACATAATGGGTATTTTTCCAAATTGTATCTCGTTTTTTGTGTAAAAATTTGGTAAAATACCCATTATGTAAAAACCAAGAGGGATAGAAAAATTAAACTAGACCTATCAAAAATAGAACATTATTTTCTATAGTATTGGGTATTTCTAACAATAATTTAAAATAAATTGTAATTTTATATTAAGGGAGAGCCTCAAAAAAAATCTCGCTTTTTGTGTCTCTCCCTTAAATTAAAGGTATAATTAATTTTAAATCAATGTAAGAAATACCCTATACTATAGAAAATAGTATTTGCTTTTTGATAGGTCTAGTTTTAATTTTCTATCCCTATTGGTTTTTACATAATGGGTATTTTTCCAAATTTTATTTCGTTTTTTGTGTCTCTCCCCTAAATTAAAATTACAATTAATATT